ACTGGCAGGAGTAAGTTTGGAAAACTTTGCCACAGAAGAATTATCGTTCAACACATGAAGCTCAGCCCTTTTCTCTTTTCTTAAAAATGCACATTGTAGTATGAAATGCTTGCTTCTAGATTTAAATTGTTTCTGGACAGAATCAAAGGTGCAGTGTCAGAGGGAGCTGGGATTCTGCTGCCTGTGCACTGATCTGTGCAATGTGATGATAAAACTTCACAAGCAGAAAGGCTGTAAAAATCTGCAGTGATTGAGCAGGTTTCATAAAACAAAAGGATCTATTCAGTGTGCTGTTTCAAACAGCATCTCATAAATCTTAGAAAGTATTCTCTTTAAGATTAAAATGAAATATTCATCATTGGTGAAGAAGCAGAGTTTGTGCTGAACCAAAGAGTTTTCATGAGCCTGAACTCATCACTTTTCTAACATTACTGCCACACACTGCAATAGTATTTCATTAGACTTTTATGTAATAGATAGGCAAAAAATACATGGTTGGGCATGATTTTAGTAACCTAATGCATCTAATTTGTGTATACAGCTGTGCTTAGAAGGTATTAAGTAAGGTTTAGGACATACTCAGGTCTTAGGAGTGAAGTTATCACATCTTAGGAAACAACAAATATCTTTTTTTAATTCAGTGAAATAAAAAAAAATGAATTTAATAAAGCTTTATTCTCTCCTAAAATCATCTTCAAAGTTTATTTTAGTTCATAGAAAGTCACTTTGTGCCATTGATGACGTTGTCATGGAAACCAAGGGAAGATAACAGACTTGTATATGATAGACATATAGGACATATATGTAGAGGATAAAACACATTGTAGGTTTTAAAATATGTCAAGGAGAACTGCTCAGTGTATTATCTGAAAATGAGAGCGTTATGGAACAGCTGCAAACCTACAGAGACATGACGGTCCATCTAAACTGGAACTTTGGACAAGGACCGGATTAATCAGATACACTCTGGAGGAGATGCAGAGATCCACAGTTCAGTTTGAAGAATCTTTTTACAAGATAACCTAATTAGTTCTGCTCGACACAATTATGTCATTTTAAGAAAGATTAGCACAAAAAACCCATAAAGATAAAGTCAGATAAGATTAAAGTTTATACGACTGTCAGAGAACATTGCCCTAAACTGTGAAAACTAGTGATAGCAACTCCATGCTGTAGGACAAGAAAGGAAAGACGGATAATTTTAATGGAAAGATGGTTGGAGATGACTTACACAAAAGATAAAACCTTTTTAAAAGACCTGAGATTTACGCAGAGGTTCACCTTTGGCACAACAAGAACAATATAAATACAACCTAAGCCACAGTCGAGTGTTTGGACTAAATCATGCTTATGAGTTAGAACAGCCAAGTGAAAGACCAGACCTCACTCTGATAGAAAGTATAATAAATTCAAATGTTCTTTATTGTCAGTGTGGGGTATTCAGGTGTGTCAGCAGCAAAAGGACAAATTTGAGCTCACAGAAATCTAGCGGCGGATCTAGGTGGCAGCTGGAACACTTCATTGAAAAAAATCTAAGAGATCTGCATTTAAATGGAATGCAGAAAACTTGAAAAAATTGTTTCAAAAAGACTTAATTCTCCTTTCTAAGAAATAAAGACAACTATTA